CCATCTCCTACCGACCAACCTCATCCCGCCCCCTTGACCTGTCCGTCCTCCCTGGACTGACCTATCCCCTTCCTAACTCCCTACCTACACTCACCTTTACTGGCTCCATCCCCGCCTCTTCGACCTGTTTGTTTCCTCTCCACCTAACCTCTCCTCTATCCCTCTTCTATCCGCCTCCCACTCTCTCCCTATTTATTTCAGAACCCCCTTCCCCTCCCCCTTTTCTGATGAAGGGTCTAGGCCCGAAACGTCAGCCTCTCTGCTCCTATGATGCTGCTTGGCCTGCTGTGTTCATCCAGCCCTGCACCTTGTTGTCTGAGGAGAAATGTCTTCACCCAGAGAGCAGGGGGGAGCTTGTGGAATTCTCTGCCGCAGAAAGTGGTTGAGACCAAAACATTAAATGTTTTCGAGGAGTTTGATATAGTTTTTCGGGCTAAAGGGTTCCGAGGGGATGGGAAGAAAGTGGGAACCGGGGACTAAGTTGGATGATCAGCCACGATCACAGTGAATGGTGGAGCAGGCTGAAAGGGTCGAATGGCCTACTCCTGCTGTTTGTTTCTGTGTGAAGAGAGGCAACATATCCCCCCCTCCTTCCCATCCCCTCCCCCCCCCCCCCCCCCACCAAACACCCCGGGCCCGGTGTGACCCTGAACCAAACAGAGCAGATCCATTCCCACAGACGGGGTGATCCAGCTGTCAGGAATCCCACATGATTTCCACTTCCTCGTCCAGGAATTGGGAGCAGGATGAGGTGATTCGGCCCCTCAGCCCTGCTATGATCTGATTGTAGCCTCAAACTTCACCTTGTCCCCTCCCCCCCCCCCCCCCCCCCCCCACCCACCCTCACCGATAACCACTCATCAGTGAGCAATCTGTCTATGCTGAGACACATAGCTATCGGTGAACCAGTGTACCTATCAGCATCATGTCTACACTCAGCTGTGAAGCCCCCCATAGTCGATGGTCTCCCACGTTCTTACACGCGAGCAGTGAGTCAGTGCTGCTGAGACAGTGGGGAAGGGTCTGGACAAGCAGCAGGAGATTTGAAGTGGTGAATATGTGTGTGTGGTTCTTCTGCAGTGGCACCGGACCCCCACAACCCAGGAGACCGATGGCTTCCAGGTGAAGAGACCGGGTGATGTCAGTGTGCGGTGTACATTGTTGCTCATGCTTGACTACCAGGTGGGCACGGTGAGAGCGATGGGGGCAGGTCGCAGGGTCAATGGGTGGCAGCGGAAGTGTGGTGGCAGCTCCCACGGGGAATGATCCAGTTTAAGGGGAACGTGGATAAACACTCCTGGGAATTGAGGGACAGAGGGAGATGGGGATGAAGGTGATGAAGAGGAGGGTAAGAACAGGCTTATAAGGAGTAGATAGCACGTGGCAGAGGGGCCGAATGGCCTGTCCTTGTTCTGGAAATCCAATATTTTTGAATAATAAATTGGAAAACACACAGTTTATAAAGTTTGTTGTTAAATTTGAGAGGGACAGTCACAAAACACTGAGTTGAAGTGAGAAAGCAAGTGAGAGAGACCAACAGGAATGGAGAGTGGGTTCAAAAAGCTATTGCATTAGACAGACAAAACACTAAAGGACAAGAGACTGATTGGGCCAGATAAAGGTCAAGGAGACATGACAGGAAGAAAGGGAAGGAACAGAGGAGAAGAAAGCAAGGCTGCATTCAACCATGTGTGGCATCAAGCAGCCCAAGTAAAACTGGAATCAATGGGCATCAGGAGCAAACTCTCCACTGGTTGGAATTGTAACCCCTAGCGTTTTGCGATTCTACATTTGATCTCTCTGTAACTCTCAGGCTTCCAGGCTCATATTGTTTAGAAATTTCTCTGCTCTGCTTTCTTCAGTTGAAAACAGGTGACTGCACATATCCCCACTCAGAACTCCAGCTCCAGAGTTGTACCCTCTCCCTGAATCTATCAATGTCCCCGTGCAACTTCCTGCCCTCACACCGCGTTATTTACATGAATTCATTCCTGGGACATGGGCATCGCTGGCTGGGCCCAGCATTTATTGCCCGTCTCTAGTTGCCCCTTGAGAAGGTGGTGGTGAGCTGCTTTCTTGAACCACTGCAGTCCTCCTGCTGTGGGTTGACCCACAATGTCCTCAGGGAGAGAGGATTTAAACTGTCTTAAGGATTCTTCTCACATTTTCATGAGAGAGAGTTGCTTATTTTGGAATTCATTTCCTTCTGTTGACATACCCAGTGGTGTGGTCACCTGTTTGGGATGGGACAGTATGGGATAGTGGTCTCAATGGGAAGTTCGGGGAGTTTGGATTGTTGTGGTAGAGATGGTCAGGGCTGGGCCAATGGGGGCTGGGTGGTCTGGTCCGAATGGTGGGTGGTCTGGACTGGATGGGGAGTGGTCTGGATGGCGCGGATGAAGTGGGCTGGACAGGTGGTGTCTGGGCTGGATGGGGGTGGGATCTGGGCTGGGTGGCAGTGGGTGGTCTGGTCCAGATGGGGGCTGGTCTGGTCCAGATGGGGGCTGGTCTGGTCCTGATGGGGTGTGGTCTGGTCCTGATGGGGTGTGGTCTAGTCCAGATGGGGGTTGGTCTGGTCCAGATGGTGGGTGGGTGGTCTGGTCCAGATGGGGGGTGGGTGGTCTGGTCCAGATGGGGGGTGGGTGGTCTGGTCCAGATGGTGGGGTGGATGGTCTGGTCCAGATGGGGGGTGGGTGGTCTGGTCCAGATGGGGGGTGGATGGTCTGGTCCAGATGGGGGGTGGGTGCTCTGGTCCAGATGGTGGGTGGGTGGTCTGGTCTGTACGGGAGGCTGTCCAGGATGGAATCTCAGTCTGTGTGTTTCGGGATGGGTGTCTTACAGCCGCCCCAGTTTAAGTTGGACCCTCGGTTGGCACGCTTACTAGGAATTCACACTCAGACTCGATCGGCCATCGTACAGGCTCTGTGGCAGTACATCAAAACCAACAAACTACAGGACTGTCATGACAAGGAGTACATCAGCTGTGACAAGTACTTCCAGCAGGTAAAGGCCAGGGGTAAGGGGTAAAGGATAAAGGCCAGGGGTAAGGGGTAAAGGCCAGGGGTAAGGGGTAAGGGGTAAAGGCCAGGGATAAGGGGTAAGGGGTAAGGGGTAAGGGGTAAAGGCCAGGGGTAAGGGGTTGGGGTTGGGGAGCAGCGATCGGTGGTGGGCACGGGGTGAATATGGAGGGGCTGGTACTGGGTAATGAACTGTAACAGAAGCTCATGTGAATTGGGGCACAGTCCTAGAATCACAGTGCAGAAGGCCATTCAGCCCCTCCAGTCTACATGGGCTCTGAGCAAATGCCCAACCTCCTGCCTCCTCCCATAACCATTCAAGGACCCTCTCAAATGCCTCAGCTGAACCTGCCTCCTCCATGTTTCCCGGGAGTGTATTTCAGACCCGAACTACTCACTGAGTGCAAACGGTTTTCTCACCCCACATTCCCTTCTTTTGTAAAACACTATGTCTATGAACTCTGGTTCTTAATCCACTTACTGTGTGGGACCAGCTTCTCCCCATCTCCTCTGTCCAGCCCGGTCATGTTTTTGAAAACCTCTATCAAGTCTCTTCTCAGCCTTCTCTTCAACAGGAACACTCCCAACTTCTATCCTCACCATTGAAGTGTCTCATTCCTGATACCATACTTATAAATCACATGTGCACTCTCTCCAGTACATTCACATCTTTCCTATAATGTGGCACCCACAAATGTACACAATATTCCAACTGAGGTCTAACAAGTGTCTTATGCAAGTTCAACATCAACTCCTCACTCTTGGACTCTATGCCTTATTAATAAAGTTGAGGACATTGTAGGCTTCATTAACTGCTCTCTCCACTGTCTTGCCACCTTCAGTGTTCTGTGCATATATTCAACCAGTTCCCTCTGCTCTTGCACCTCCTATTTTTTATTGTCTTTCAGTGTTATTCCTACCAAAGTGCATCACTTCACACTTCTCTGCGTTGAACCTCAACTGGCACCTATTTGCCCACTCCGTCATTTTCCTTTGGGAGTCCTCCTCACAGATTACAATTCTGCCAAGTCTAGTGTCATCTGCAAACTTTGAAATTGTCTCCTGTACACCGTGATCCAGATCATTATCATATATCAGGAAAAGATTTCAATCATTATTATATGTCAGGAAAAGCAGAGGTCCCAATACTACCTTTGGGGTGTTCCACTGCAAACCTTCCTCCAGCCTGAAAAATATCCATTAACCGCTACTCCTGGTTTTCTATCATTAAGCCAATTTTCTATCCACATTGCTACTGTC